TCTTCATTCACGTAAAAAAAATCTTTTTTTTTTAATTCAAAATGAAAATTATAAATAATTGGATAAAATAATTGAATTTGATTTTTAAATTAGGTATTATAAATATAAAGATATTCTAGATAATATTAAAACTAAAATTTGTAAAAAATCATAATGTATATTAGGTATTATCTTAAAAACTCTTGAAATTTCTAAAAAATATGGATTAACCTTTAAAAGATAATTAAACCAATATTATTAATTTAGATATTCGAAAATAATTAGATATTCAAATGTTTAAGTGCTTATATTTGGCGCCAACATTTCAAATTCATTTTGGCTCCAATTTAAATAATTTTAGAAATTATTAAAATATATTACCAAAATTCGAGGTATTACATAATTGCAATTAGTAACAACATATATACTCCGTATTAGATATCGGAGTGTCAAAGGGGATATGGTGCACGATTTGTGAAATTTTCTATATAAACGTAATTACAGTATGAAAAGAACGAAGGAAATATTAACGCATGAGGGAGATAGAGGACAATTTACCCGTGAATGAATTCATTACGATTGACAAATGGAAAAAAAGTGTCTATATAGCCATAACCATTGGGAAACCAACGATCATGGATAGGCAAACGAGAGATAGTAATATTTTGCCCATTAGCGCGATGTTTTCAGACCATACGTTCCAAAAATGCCAATAAGAAGTTCCTTCAACAACAGCATGATTCATAGAACAACCAATGAATATCCCATCAATCAATTCCGTAAATTGAATCGATAACATCGGTCTTGTATGGCCGTCGTAATTGACTTCTCCCTCGCTTAAATCAAACAACAACCTTACCACGGAAGGTATGTTTGGTGAAACAATATCAGATATTGTTACATCTGATTTAGCATGGACAAATCAGACACCCGACCCCCTTATTACAATCAACAAAGACCTAACATACGATGTTGGTCTTCATCGATGATGGACTAAAATTGGCCAGCAAGTATATAGAAATGAACAAAAGTAAGACTTAGAGAGTTTTTTAGGCTTTCTAAGAGATTACCAATAAAAAAATGGGTCGTCATTTTTTGGGTATAGTAAAAAGAAGACCCTTTTGAAACATTAAATCCATTAGAGATAAGTAATAAGGATTTTTAGCTTCTTTTGTTTCATACTTTGGCTTAATGAAACACTCAGAAATTTGGATTAGTGGCGGAAATTCCATTTTTTTTCTTTCTTCTAAAACTTGTTTGCTGAGTTTTTGTTATGAAGTTTATATGGAAGTGACATAATTTATACTGTATGTTCCCATTACTCCCATTAACGCAATTATTGGTGCAACATTAATGAAAAGCCTAACCCTTTTTTTTTTTTTAGGAAAAAAGCCCAACTTTAATGTCCCCTTATTATTTTAAAATTATTTTCGTGAAGGGACCGGTCAAAGGGTTTGGCTGCCAAAAATTTATCTCATGGAATGTGACATTGTGACGGTACACATGATACTCCATTTGTTTCACAATATTTGACACAATTTGTCTAAATATACAAACATATAGAGAAGGTTTTACCATTATTATATAAAAATATAAACTAGTATAAAGTATTTCCCTATTTTTTTTCTAAGTAAACATTTTTTTTTAATCACATTTGTCAACGCATGAGATTAACAATTAATATCTTTAAATATCAACATTATTTTCATGAAAGGACCAGTCAAAGGGTTTGGCTGCCAAAAATTTATCACATGAAATGTGACATTGTGACGTTGTACACATGATACTCCATTTATTTCACAATATCTGACATATTTCGTCTGAATACACATGTAAAACATACGGAGTAGGCATTTCCCCGATTTTTTTTTCCTAAGTAAACATGTTTTTATTTTTTTTTTGTTTTTTTTTATCACATTTGTCAACGCATGAGATTAACATTAATATCTTTAATTATCAACAAGTTAAAATTTATAAAAAGTTGAATTTAATACTATAGACATTAAGACAATTCAAACAAGATCTCACATGAGAACTATGTTTATCATAGTTATAAATCACAAATTCTAGTCTGCGTAAAATTAATGAATAGTGACAAAGGTAAAATCATGTCAACTACGAAAAAACAGAGAAAATGTAATAATTTGATGGAAATTTTGTCAAAAAAAAACCTTTTAAATACACCATTTTGCGGGAAAAAAAAAAACACCTTTTAAAAGATTTTTGGCAAAAGAAAACCCGATTTTTAACATTTTGGCAAAAAAAAAAAAAAAAAAAAAAAAAAAAAAAACAATGTGAATTTTTTGTTTAAGACAACCTAGTGCCTCTAATTTACTTTATTAACCTCTCATTTCTTCTAATTACCCTCTAAATCTTACTTAAGCATTTAATAATGAAATTAATATATAAAATTTAAAAAAAAAAAAACAAAAATCACCATCCCCTCCAGCAGCCAGCCACCCCCTCCTTTTCCCCCTCTCTCTTGGCAGCAGCCCCCCTCCTCCAACTGAGCCGCCACCTTAAACCCCCACCCCCAGCGACCCACCTCCACCGTATCTTTCTATCGATCTTTCTTTCTGAAAAATGGCGAATTGGAACCCTAACGTTAGCCAAAACCAAAATCAAAACATCGCATAAATGTGGAAGTCTTAATTACAACCCTTGTACAATGCTTGAAAACATCGCATCATCGTTGAAGGGTGTCATCGGTCATCGTCTATCGGAACAAGAAATTCACTTTAAATTACCTGTTTTTAATGATTACAAGCGTTGGGAACCATTAAAGATTAGATTGGGGATCCAGGCTTTCTCTTCATCCAAGAATTGAACTTTATTGATGAATTTCCTGGTCATAATCCCGATAAAAAATTCTACAATGCTAGACAATCTATCATCATCCCGCCGGAGGTGGGTCGCTGGGGATAAGGGGTTCAAGGCGGCGGATTATTTGGGGAGGGGGCTACTGCCAAGGGAGGGGGTGGCTGGCTGCTGGTGGGAGTGGTGGTTTTTTTAAAAAAATTAAATTAATTATTAAAAGTTTAAGGGTGTTGTTAAACGTCGCTCCCAAATTACAACCCGGCGCTCGCTTTTTTCTTGAAATTCCGTTTTTGCCCCCCGTATATAAATACTCACGACAGTCACTCACGACAGTTACAACACATTTTTACGCTCGTACTTCTCTCTCTATAACTTTCTTTCTCTAAAAACTGAAATTCTCTTCAAAAATTAAAAAAAAACAGAATTTTTTTTTAAAATCTGAAAATTCAAAAAAAAAATCTGAAAAAAAAACAGAAAATAAACAAGAAAAAGAATAATAACCACCAGTCCACCACCAATCCAAGGAGGGTACTCCAATGGCGGATCGGAGGCGAATAAGTCTCACTTAAAACGGTCGTGGCGACGGCGTGGGAGGCGGCAAACAATTTAGCTCAAAGTTCATGCGATTTTCATTAATCCGTGGAAAAAAAAATTTCTGGAAATTCAGGACATCCGCCTGAAATTTCCGGATGTCCCAAGGAACATCCGGAAAGACATCCGGAAATTTCAGGCGGATGTTCCTGAATTTCCAGAAATTTTTTTTTTTTTTTTTGTTTCTTGCTTTTTGTTTTTAATTTTTTTTTTCTAATGATTATTGCAAGGGGTTTTTTTTTTTTATTATTTTATTTATTGTGATTAATATTTTTAAAAACCGATTAATATTATTCCGAATTTTTTTTTCTCATGATTAATGTTATGTTTTTTTTTCCGTGGTTAACATTTTTTTTTCGTGATTATTCCGGAATTTTTTTTTTATATCATGATAAATGTTTTTTTTTCGTGCCTAACTTTTTTTTCGCATGATTAATATTATGTTTTATTTTTCCGTGCTAAACATATTTGTTTTTCGCTATTAATATTCTTTAAATAACCAATTAAAATTATTATTATTAGTAATGTTATTAGTTTTAGGATTGTTATTATTAGTAGCAATATTACTATTATTATAATTATTGTTGTTATTAGTATTATTACCATTATTATTTTTGTTGTTATTAATATTGTTATTACTGTAATATTGTTTATTTTTTTGAATTTGAATATTAGTTGTTCAACTTTAATATCATAGTTATAGTTGTAATTATTACTGATATTTGATTTTGTACTTATTTAATGTAGATTGAGGGTTCGGGTCCTCATCATGCAGTATCAAGACGTTTGAATGCGTCTATTAGGAGGGAGTCGAGTCGTTCGGTAAATACGGGGGCACCGTATCATCATGAGCAGCAATATGAGTCTGCTAGTACTTGGTCGGGGGAGCATCAGTCGCAAAGGAGCCCCCCCCCCCCCCATGTACTCGTCTGGCCAAGTGCCAACATCTGACGATGATGACGATGAGCGGGCAAGTCAGGCTGATCGAGATTAAGAGTACGACCCTCGAGATTATCATACGGTGCATAGGGGTCAACAAGGGAGATTTGTGAGTAGTAGTCAAGCGAGTCAGCCATCCACCAGCTCAGCAGAGACATGGATAGTGCAGCAGCCGATGTCAGGTGGTCCTGAGAATGGTACTGTTATCCCCAGTTTTGGTGGTCACGTGGCTGCTTATATTTGGGGTGGGCAGGAGCGTAACGTTTTGCGCTGTTTGAGCAGGACACAGTTGTGTTCTGCATTGGTTACCTGGCGAGGTCGTCTTGCACAAGAGCATCTGGAGTTGATTGACGGTAGTGGTCTGTCTCACTTACCAGGGATCATGTTTAGGCGTTTTGACTGGCCTTTGATTTCTGCGTTTGTTGAGAGATGGTAGCCAGATACGAACACGTTTCATATGCCATTTGGGGAGATCACGATCATGCTGCACGATGTGTACCATATTCTTGGGCTTCGTGTTGATGGTTCTTGGTTCCATGGTTTCCATTACTCCTAACACGGACGTCATACGGGACGCGTGCCAGGTTACCCTGGACATGACTACGGAAGAGCTGAACGAGAAGTGTGGTACGAAGATCATTTGGTAGGGTAGTGGGGTGCTGACCGAGAGGATTATGGACTCGACCTTGGAAGCGCAGAGGCCCTTCAGTGTCCATTACGGTGCGTACATGTGGTTAGTGCTGGGTGGATGTCTGTTTTTGGACAAGAGTGGTAACCGTAATCATCCGTCCTTCCTCAACAAAGTTGTTATTGATGATCTTCCGATGAATGAGTACTCTTGGGGTTCAGCTGCTCTAGCATATCTGTATCGCCAGTTGGGTACGACATCAAGAAAAGATGCTGATTCAATTGCTGGTTGTCTCACGCTTTTGCAGACGTGGATCTACGAGTACTTTCCGTGCTTCCGACCTCAACAGGGTACCTTGACGAGGGAGCTTAGTATTCCTCCTACGTCTGCTTGGGATGTGGGATCAGGATGCCCGAACAAGAGCGTGGAGCGCCTCCTCGCTTTTCGTGCTCGATTGGATCAGCAGACCGACAATGAGGTTAACTGGCTACCGTACGGAGTTGATCCCGCTCGACGCGTGCCAGCCACTCTATTTATTGGCTGCATCCAGTACCGGAGCATCATTGAGCCATACATGCCTGATCGAGTGGTCCGACAGCTTGGATTCGTGCAGGACATTCCGCATCTGGGCTCAACCCACTAATTTTACGATGCCCCTCCTGATACACAATCATTGGATGGTTATGGGTCCCAATTGCATCATTTTTTGCCCGAATCTTCAAACTATCGTTGATGAACTCGTAATATATCTTGATGTAGAAAGAACAACCATTGGCTTTAGTTTTAGTGTCCTTCCGAATTGCGTTCTCAAGATCTCTCGGCTTGCTCCTACGTCCCCGATCACATCTCAAAAATCGATACGACCTACCATCCCTGGTTTTGTTGTAAGACGATTTGACCAAAATAAATCCCAGATTTATGGCAACAGCATCCGCCCATTGAACTGCATCATCAAACGTTGGAAAAAACGTATCTGTGACAAAATTCGCACAATAATTCACACCATCACCACCTTCTTCAAACTCCGAATCCCTTAAAGTTACAAGAAAACACAAAAAACACGCCAATATTAGTATTTTACTTATAATAATAATAACACCAATATTTTTAAAAGAACAATAATAATATCATAACATTAACTAATATTAACTAACATCAACTAACACTAACATTAACTAATATCACAATATTAACTAATATAAAAAAAAAAAAAAAATTACAGATTCTTTCGAAGATGCCTCCGGCGTACGATCGTCGTCCAAAACCCGTCGCTAAACCTTGATAATTTTTTTTTTTAAAAAAATTAATATTTTTGGTGGTGGGCTCAGGAATTTTGGGGCTTGGGATTTTTTAAATGCTAGTGGTGGGTCAAAGTGTTCGGGAATAATATTAAACTGCTCGGTATACTATGTGACAAAGTGGTGGAGCCTTTTATACGTCAAATTAACACAAGGACAAAACGGTAATTTCACATTTAAATGGGAGCGTCACCATGTAAATTGGGAGCGTCGAATAGCAGTTCACAAGTTTAAGTGAGGATTAAGATAATTAGAAAAAAATTAGAGGTTAATTAAGTGAATTAGAGACAATTGGTTGTCCTTCAACAAAAAAATTTTAACTTCGGGTTTTCTTTTATGATAAATCTTTTAAAATGTTCTTTTCCGAAAAATAGTGCATTTGAAAGTTTTTTTTTACAAATTTTCCTATTTTGATATTATACATACAAATATATACTTTTTTTTTTTTGTTTTAAATTACATTTATAATAATATAACAACATTTTACAAGATAACATTTGAGAATTAGTGGTCCCTCCATATTTTAATAAGTGTTACACTTTGACCGGCACATAATTTTAGGCAATTTAATTGACTAAAATTAAATAAGAGGTAACTAGGATAGTTGGAGTATTAAAAAATTGTAAAAGAAAGATAGTGGAGTTAATAATTTATTGAAAAGTAATTAATGTGAGAGGAAAATAATAATAATAATAATAATAATAATAATAATAATAATAATAAAAAAAAAATAGTAGTGAGTTTAGGTAGGGACCATGATAAGAGAAATATATAATATTAAAATGTAGATTTTTGCCAAAAAAGGATGTGTAACACTTATTAAAACACAATCGGATTTGATAAGTGTAACACTTATTAAAACACGGAGAGAGTACACAATCAAAGTTAATGGATGAATTATGCAAAAGTCAAACTTTGTCAATTATTTTAAAACAGATTTATCGATATTTGTACTTCGTACTTTATACGAAGTAAAGTAATGATAATCATTCTGGTATTTGTTTAATTTGTCTCTATGTATAATTTCATGATATATACAGATCTAGGTCGCACTTATTATCAAAATTAATCCCAAAATCATATGGCAACAGGAGTAGCCCTTAGCATTATAAAATGTTTAACACTATCTTCTATTAATCTATTATTAATTAATGCGTTTTGGCCCCATGAAACATAGCATGTGATAGAATTAAAAGGACCTTACATGTGAAGGAGAGTGTAAATAACCCTCCCATATAACACATATATTGTCCCTTTAATTCTGATTTCTTTTGGGAAAAATTGCAAATAATAATACAACCTTTGGCCAGTTCTTTTTTAATATATAGCCTTGCATTATACATTAATATTATGACCTTTGGGGGGTGTTGGCAAAACTTGTAATCTGTTAAACAAGTTATCCATGACACTTATTGTCATGTAATTGATCTAAATATTTTTTGATTTTTTTTTATAAAGTTATTTAACCTTTAATTAAATTCTAATTAAGTTTTTAATAATCTTATTTTTAACAAATAAAATATTTTAAAAAAAAATAAAGTAGAAAAAAAAAACCCAACCACCGGCAGCACCCCTACCCCACCTCGGCGGCCAGCCTTCGAAGATCAGCCTCCCCCAACGCCAGCCGACCCCAAAAATTACACCCATTCCCGCGCCTCATAAACCGAATCTCCCACCATAAACCCGTTTAACCCAGAAAATCCGTTTTCTAGGGTTTCGGATTTTCTAGGTTAAACGGATTTTTGGTGGTTTTGGGTGGGGGAATAGGATTTATGGGGGCTGGAAAACAGGGGAGGGGATGGTTTTGGGGCTGCGGTGCTCAGGAAGGGGTGGAATCGGAACTGATGTTCGTGAAGGTTGAGGTTGGATGGGTGGCGCAACGGGTAAGATGAGGTCGAGGTAACAGGGGGTGGGTCGAGCTGTAGTGGGTGAGCTGGACGCCAGTCGGCCTATTTCCGAGTTGGGGAGAGCCGGAGAGGGGATTTGCGTGAAGGGGAGGAGATAGTGGTTGGGGTGGTGGCTTTTTTTTTTTATAATAATAACAACAACAATAAAAGTAATTTTTATTATTTTATATATTTTAAAAATTAAAAATATTAAATAAATTTTAAAAAATCAAATTAAATTGACAAGACCAATAAAACGACGACACGTGTCATGGTAAGCTGTAAAAACAAGTTACCTACCGGCCTGTTAAAAATGAACACCTTCCAAAGGTTGTAATATTAATGTATAATTCAAAGGTTGTATTATTAAAAAGCCAGAACAGGCCAAAAGTTGTATTATTATTTGCAATTTTTCCTTTATTTTATTAGTGCACTTTGGTCCCATAAAAACATCATATGTGACAGAATTAACTTACCTTACATGTGAGGTGAAGTGTTGATGAAATGTAACTCTCTCAAACAACACTCAAGACAAGAAAAGAGGTTTGAAGATTCTTTTTCTTTTCAGCACAGAGGGCAAAGTTTGGGAGCTTCAATATCTCTATAATTGCATTCATCCTTAGGGAGTAATAACCTAAAGTTATCAAAGAGAGTAATAGCCTAAAGCTATTAACCTATCATTTGTAACCTCTTTTGCCATTATCAATCGAACATCAAGCTTTCATCTTTATTCATTGCCTTGTTAAATCAGAAATACTAATTCTGAAAATCAGTCCATTACAGAACCTGCTCCAATTAGAAAAGTGAGAAACGTAAATGGCATCCACAACTCATAAGGAAGCCAAAAGAATTTGAGTATTTGAATTTCCTATACTTACCTCGACTTTATATTTCTCAACAGGAGCAGGAACCCCTCTCCCCCATTTTAAAACACAAGCTTTGTACTATATATAGCAGAAGTTTGTTATCCAAACAAACAAGATTATTAGTACTTATCAATGCTAGTTGATTCGCAAAGGAATTTCTTTTAGAGATGGCATGCACACCCTACTACACAGAAGTATAGAAATAGATGTACTGTGGAGTGGAGTGTTGGGTTCGAAACATCTTTAAAATAGCATAAAGAAGCTCTAAGAACTGAGTTCAGGAAACTTGCAGCTCAGATTTAAACAAATTAACATCAAATACAGGAGATGTAGCTCAGATACCCAAACCAACTTATTGAATTACTGTGTTTAAGTAGCTTTCTGCAACAGAAAATTAAGGACCTTAATTCAAATAAGAGCTCACATTAAGTAACCTTGCTATTAATGCTATGCTAAGGGAAAGATGATAGAAAAGGTGCTATAAACAAACGCAAAACCCACATTAAACAGGGTTTCTTTTTTCTTAACATGATTCTACAACTCAAAAACTGAAAACAAAATGTCGACAACAGCAGGATAAGGCAAAGAAACTGGAAAGATAACCGTATATCATCTGTACGATTTCCATGGTTCAACAATATAAATTTTACCTTAGAAGCTGGCTTCAATAGAGAATAAAAAGATCATGCGGCTGTCAAATCTTTGCCATCATAAAGATTTTCTGCAATATTAAGACTAATAAAGGTATCTCTAATATGAACAAGGCATATCTCAAACTCTCTTAATTGATTGGGTCATGGTTTGTTATATATCTTGAAAGAATGATAGGCTGTGGCAAAATCATGCCCTCAATAAGATATTCTCCTCATCAAGTGAACAAGTAAAAAACTTCAAGCTCTAGTTGGGACATATCAAGTGTCCGATCCATTGTCATTTCACAATCAAATCCGAAAAAATGAGGCCTTCACAAGTACTCTTGCCTCACTGAATTTCTTGCCAAGATACGCCACACCCCAAACCCCATAAACTACTAAACAATTAAACACCAGCAAGTCAATTGCAAGCTGGACATGGTTAATAAATAAATGTCATATTTTGATAAACAAATCGCTTAAAATCAACTAATCAGCAAGGTATACATTTACACTCAACAAACTGGACCAAAATAAACCTTACATAAATGGTATATTTATGTATAAGAAGAAAAATAAAAATGTGAATTGATACATCTGAGAATGTCATATGGCAGAAAATCAATACCACAAAAACAAAAAAGCAACTAAACCATATCCATAACATAGACTACAATCAAAAACTCCTGTTAATATTTAACTAAAATCGGGGAAATATACTGACAAATGAACCTCCATGGATCAACACTATCAAGAGGATGAAATAAAAATTAAACTAAGAAGAAATAGTTGACTGGAATTCAAACCTAAGAATTCAGGGGAAAAAAAAAAAAAAAAAAAAAAAAAAAGACAGAAAAAGAAAAAGAAAAAGAAAAAAAAAAAGGAAAAAGAAAGAAAAAGAAAAAAAAAAAGGCAACGTATAAGAAAATTTCAAAAAATAGAAAATGGGACAATAAATTTT